GGCAAGTTTGTTCCATGAAATATCAGAGGGAAACCTCCTTCTAAAAGAGACATGACTGCATCATCATATGCGCGCTAATTCTATCTCTACTCTTCATCTAATTCCGTACTCGTTCTGTCAAAATTATTTATGTTCTACGTGATATGATTATTTAAATGTGCGTATCAAAATTTCGCTGGAGTAAAAGATACCGAAGGCAAATCTTCTTCTAGAGATTGTGAAACGATGACATAAATCGTAGACTCTTGACTCTGTATATAAAATTTGCATATTGTTTTTATATTATATTTATTTAGTTTTTTTATTACGTTTGTTACGTATTCATATGCATAAAACATTTGTATACGTCATTATATTCTATAACCACGTGTACCATCGAAGGAAATCAGGTGAAATTATTAATTAATTACTGATGTTCTTTGTCGAATATACACTATTGATTTTACAACAAGTGCCTGACGAAATTCTCCCCCCGTTTTGATTCCGTCTACGCTGCCAGGCCAGAGCTCTAATCGTGATACGAATTTCATCATAAAATCAAACGAAATTGTTCAACTTTCTAATAAAGTTTATACATAAATATTATTATCTGATCGTACAAGTACTGATATCTGAGTGAAACAAGAATTTTTGACGTTGATCAGTTGATGAAGCAACATCAAAGGAAATGTTTTCTGAATGAATTCTTCCATCGAAATTGAAACGTCATGTCGATCGAACAACTTTCTATACAGTCATGTTTCAGAGGAATTTTTGTGTTTATAAAGCAGAATTTACTGTGCTCATTTCCCAACGCTGTTCGTCCTCCTTATAGTCAGTTATTATCGATAGACCATCGAGAACGTGTAGCAATTCCCGAATGGTGTAGATTTTCTTGTATCCTTTCAAAGCAATTGGCAGTTCTGAAGGATTGCCTTTTGAAAACGATTGGCGAGAACAATGAAGTTCTGAAGCTTTTCTGCAATGAACAGTAAATATATCGGATGTGATAGGAAGATTGCACTTCAGAGGACAACGCAGTGTGTTACAAATTCATTATTGGGATACTCGATTAGAGTGGCACATGAAGTACTTACATATTCTCCTTATCTCTCGTTTCCAGTCGTACAAGAATTAGTGGTGTCAGACACCAATTAAATAGAAGATCACTCGAGAGAAGTACGTCATTATCATAGTAAAAGCGTATATCATTACACAAAACAAGAGTGAATGAAAAATTACGTGTTACTGATCGATGATCTGATGATCGATTGTGAATGTATTAATTAATTGAAAACAATCATTTGAGTGACAATGGACGTAGCATGACTTAAGGATGTATAGGCTTACGCTTAAAC